TATGCTTTGGGGATTTGATATGAGGTGGGGAAAAGGAGAATGGTCTATTAAGCATAGATATCTCAATTAGTTAATAGCTTCTTTATCAAAGTTGAGTAAAGGAAAAACAACTTTGGAAGTTTTTAACAAATTTGGGAAATTTGGGCGCAACCTAAATGTAGAAATTTACTATTTCACCATTGAAGCACCTTTGTTGGTGTGGATGGTGGAGGCGGCGACGACAGTCGTCATGAATGGAAGCTTTGATGATGAGAACGCGGGTCCTAAAGGGGATAAAGAGATGACGAGAAAAAAACTTGAGGAGGCAATGGGTTTTGGATTTGATGGCGGAGGGAATGCGGGAGAGTTGATTGAAATTTGGTTGTGAAGCTTCTCCATACTATTTGATCAGGTTTGAGCTTCTTTTTCAAGTTCATGTAATTTCTCATTATGGGATGACCTTGTACAATAAGACCATACAAATATATATATATATATATATATTGGGTTGGAGAATGGTGATGATGGAGAGCAGCAAAAAAAAAAAAATACATATATATATATATATTGGATTGGAGAATGGTGATGATGGAGAGCAGTAGAAAATATATAAATATAGAATGGATTGGAGAATGGTGATTATGGAGAGCAGAAAAAAAAAATAATAATAAAAAAAAACCATTAGAAGAAGAAGTAGCATGGGAGAATACTGCCGGCAAAAATGAATTGATAATCTAAACCTCGAGTACAAGGTTCTTAAAAAAAGAGGGAGACAATGATAAGACCCGAAGAGGTGGTACAAGTTGACAGTTAAACCATTTTCCCACAACCAAAGCAGTTCTTCCGCGAAGTCCTACGACCAGATCAGTTCTCCCACAACCAGAGCAGTTCATGCAGTTATTCTAGATTTTTCTATTTAAGCATGTACGCAACTGCAGAAAAGGAGCAAAAAATCAATAATTCAACTACTGAAAGTGAGACCACAAACAACATGGGCTTTGTTAAGGACAGTGGATCACGCAGCGAGTCAGATGCGGAACTGACTCAAGAAAAAGTTCTTTTGGTACACCAGCTCGAATCAGAACATTTGATAACTACAACAATGGGCAAAAATATTTTGACTATCTGTTTTATATGGACTTTGAAGCATCAATGGTTTAGTGGAGAATGCTCTCAGGCATCTGAAGGAGTGCTACTTTCTTGCGAGCGCTAAGAAGCTCCTAATGAAGAAGATGCCCAAGGAAGATACCACATGGGAAACTACTACAGCGTTGCGAGAAAAATTTCAGTCATTTGAACCTTGAGGACAAGGTTCCTAAAAAAGGAAGGAGTAATGTTAAGCTGCATATTTCGGTCACAGAGCGTGGGGATAAAATAGCTGTTGTGGCAGAATTGGACAACAAGCAGTTGCTGCACTATCCCATTTCCTCCATTATCTTTAGTTGCTTAAAAGTAGGAGTTTGCGGTTATATTTTTATGTATTTAAACCATTCCCAAGTAACAAGAAAGGCAGACAATTATTGAATCTAAAATCTTATAGTTTATTCTCATCCGAAGAGAATTTTTTTATTAATTTACTTTGACTTCTGACTGGAACCTATCAGTAATGTAGTGTAGAAATCAGGAAAAGCAATGCTTATTACAGGCACTGCTCTGATACCATGTAAAGAAACATAACTGGGTGATTAATAATTGTGAACATTTATACATGCAGGAGAGTAAAGGGGGAAGGTAGAAAGATGATCTCTGGAATCTACCGAAACCACCAGCTGTCCACAACAAACTAACCAATTCAATAAACAGAAAAAATATTGACCCTCCATTTTAGAGTTTTGATCTGGATGGTCCACCTGTCTGAGACCTTGCATCTTACTCTTAATTTTTTCAAGGCTCATGATTTTTCTGTCCCTCCTTGTTTACAGGATAGTTGCTGGATTGTTTATTTCTAGGAAAAGAAGTCTCTGTCCTTCCTCTAATGTCTATTACATTGAACAGACAGTAATTCCAATAGACAGCGGAGGAAGATAATACTCTGCAGTGGTTTTGGCTAACAAAAAGCAAGATCTCCCACAAATGGTGCGTTGATATATGTGGCAGGTTCAGATTGTTGATAGTTGTTATGGTCATCGGAGAAGTTGTCTCTATTATGAGGGCGACCTATTATAGCTCGAACAAGGACATTAGGATTGTGTGAGGTAGAGTAAAGATATTGGAAGCCATTGTTGCAATCAATGCAACCAGGGTGTGATTGAACTGATGGTAAAGATGAACCTCTGTGGTGGATATGCTGTTACCAAGTTCCAAAACCCACCATGTAGGACATCTTTCCTGGATTATCACCCAAGATGTAATCCACTTGCTTCTTTGCCTGTTTTACATGCTGCTCTGCTGTTACAGTTGAAGTCTCAGGTGACAAGTCTCCTATTTGTTTCAAGGTACTTGACATATATCAGCAGAAGGAAAGTCGCGGTTGTAACATACTGTAAGTTGCTCTCACTTGCCCTGTACTGAAGTCCTCCTGCGTATTTTTGCATAGAAATTAGCTCTACAAATTTAGATTACAAAGGAGAGATACAAAAAAGGGACTCCATATTACTTACCTGGGGTATATTGTGCATGGAAATGAGATGTTCCGGGGATCAAATATCGTATATAATAGAAATTAACTCTACAAATTTAGATTACAAAGGAGAGAGACAAAAAAGGGACTCCATATTACTTACCTGGGGTATATTGTGCATGGAAATGAGATGTTCCGGGGATCAAATATCGTATATAATTGTCTGAGTGTTGTTTGTATAGCTGAAATTCTTCTGTGTTTTTCTCTAAGAAGTCCTGTGGAAAAACAACAATTGTATAAGTACAACTCCTAGACCTTCCAATGCAGTAGAAGGAATTGAGATGAAAACCCTGGAAAGAAGAACCTTTCTACCAACTCTCTTGTCTTTTGCAACTGAAGTAGTCGTCGCCATCACTTGCTCCCATTATCCGGACATTAGATCAGATGTATGCTAGATAAGACATTCTGTGATGCCCAGTGAATCCAAGATGCTCGCCAAAGAAGTTCATCCTATTGGAAAATAAACCCAGATCAGTTATTGTTACTGATATTAAAAGGACCGTGAAATTAAAACCAGTAGTTTCTAAATATTACCTGGTAACCAGAGTAAGAGCAGTAAAATGGGCAGACTTCCGAGGGAGTCACTGTAAGAACCCCAATACCTATCTGCAAAATCAGATACCTGCAGCAGCACAGTTCATATCTAGCAATCAATTAAGGAGTTGAAGATGTGGAAAAAGAAAAACGGGAAAAATGCAGTTATGGGGATATCTATTTATGCATTCATGGCTGTTTCCAGTTATTTGGCAGAGTAGTATCCGAGTCTGAGTCTTTAAGCACAGTTATTTAAAATTATTATGAAGGTTCTTTTAAGAGGGAAGTACCCTTCAAACATTGTTAGGTGGTGATACATGTATATACATATAATAATTTTTCTATTTTCTAAAATATTATATAATCTATAATAATAAAATATATAAACATAAATATATTGATGGTAAGAAAACTAGTCCTTGAAGAAGCAAGCAACTACACCATGATTGTCTTCACTAAAAAAGCTTTTTGTCTCTGCTCAAGGAGTTCCCATGGGCTGCATACCAACTGAAGCCTCTTATTAAACTACACTGGTTTTGACCGTCACCAAACTTGAAAAAGTCAATTTTTCTTCACGGAAAAAAGTTTTAAAAGCATTATTTTATAATTACTTGAACTACATATATGTTGCTTTGCTATTAAAAAAAATCAAATAGCAGAATGATTATTGTATCAAAATCCAGAATCAAACTATACAATAGAAGTCACTGTCATCACCTGCATCTCTTCTCTGTTTCATCCTTTGCTGTGCTCTAATCTTCTTCATCATCATCTATCAACACTCCATCAACATCATCACGCCGTTGCGTTTCCATCATCACGCTTCAGCTGTTCCATTTTCTTTTCCTTTCTTTCTCTCTTCTCTGTCGTCGCTGATGCCTGGAGACGACAAAAATATTTTCTCCAAAATGGTAACCCTTTAGAGAAGAACAAGGAGCTGTTGAGTTCATTATTTTGGGCAGAATTGATTTTTGAATTATATAAGATTTGGGCTTTAACACTAATTTGGATTGGGGACTTTCAGTTTTGGTTCTAAAAGAAGGTAGTTTAGATTTAGGTTTCTTAGTTGGACTGTATTTAAATTTAGATAGCAAAATTCAAAAAATGATCAAATCCAAGAATTGAAGGAATTGGATTCCTAATAAGTTAAGTGAATCCATAAAATTAATAAAGTAATTTTTATGAAATTGTTAATGAAATTATGTACAATGTTAAATCAATAATTATTTATTAAAAAATAATTTCTCTTGTAAAGTAAAGATGTCTAAGATAATATGATATCCTTTTTAACTTACCCAAGTATTAGGAATCGACTCAAGTTTTATGGGAACAAAGTAAACTGAGCAAATTAATAACTGTACATACATATTATATATATATATATATGTATATATATATTTAATTTCCCTCCCTTAAATACATGTCAGATATCTTGTCTACTAAAGTTTTGTAAAGTAAAACACAGAAATGATGACTGTTTTTGTTGTGTTGAAAGAATATCAAATTGTAGTGCGGCAGGAAGAATATGATTCAAGGCTGCAGTTTAGGGCAGACACTGGAGCTAGGATTAGATACAGAGCCTGGAGAAAAATGTTAAAGAGTCAAATACTGTCTGCAAAAAAAATCTTTAAACATATTCAAAATGAATTTAAATGACTTACATATGTCCGTAAGACAAGGCTGTTTAGATAAAGGGTCCTCCTCGAATGCAGGTGGAACTTGTCCATATATCATTTCGCAGCTCATATCCTCAAAATCTAAAGATTGAACAGATGATTTAATTGGAAACAAGTAAGAATACAATAGGAAACTATATATAATAATTCATAATTTGTAGAGAAAAACAAGCTTACTTGGAATCATAGTTAGTGGAAGCCCAAACTCATTTGTAAAGAAATCTTGGGTGGGAATTTTGCACATGTTCACACACATCCCAACACAGCCACTGTTCTCTAAGTACCTTCGATTGGAAAAGCAAAATAATCAATTATCTGAAATAATCATTTTTGATTGGAATCAAGAAAAATGGTTTCTTCAAAATAATTGTTAATTACATTTCTACCTGCACTTCTTTATATGAACACCACTTCTTTGCTTCACACCATCTACATCCACCTCGATGACCTACAAGATTATGGTTGTGTACAAATCAATCTTGGTATATGATGTAGAATTTTTTTATCCAAGGTTATGCAGATTTTTCGATCATTTGAACACATCTTCTAGCAAATTTCTCACAAATAGGCGTTCGGATTAGATTTACCTACTTATTTTCTCAATATATTAAATGAAAGAGACTAATTTAAACAATATCTTAAGATGTCTAGGATAATGAAAAGTAATATAGAAAATTTTTCTAAAGAAATTCATGCACTAAATTCCATTTGTATGATAATCTTAAGGTGGAAAACCTAGGGAAACAGCATATCCGAAGTCAGAAATTTTACCTCAGATGGGCCAACTAACCATTGGAAGAAGGGGACTGTCAACGCAGCATTGAACTCTGCGGCCCACCTGGTGGGCGGAAACAATTTCCTAAACTGCACCCAGAAAAATTAGATAATGAAAATGAAGAAAACCAAAGGAAGAAATGGACCCAAGTAGAGAAATTGATGAATCGACCTGAGCAGGCGCACCTGGGGGGAGCATTGACAAGAGAACTTCTCGAACAACTTGCTGCTGCTGCAACCGAGACCTTCCTTGCATCACTCTTCTTGACACATCAACGAAACTCTCATAATCATAATCCAACCAACCCGTCTTCTTCCCAGAACCATTATTAGGAGAAGCTGCGAATTTCTCCATCTTGCGCGCAAATAGAGTCATGAATGCCTTCTCTAACGGCCCATCAACGTATTTGGTCTTCTTCCCCAAAGGGGCTGGCTCTCCTGTCGGCTCTGCAATCCGGCATCTTACAAGCGGGATTCGCCTCTGTACTGAAACCTGTCTTGCCGGTGGAAACGAGACAACTTGGAGGCTAACTGCCACCATGAATTTGCAAGATAGTACTTTACCAGTGAGTTCTTTAATTTTCTGGGTAAGATTACTCAAGTAGAGAAGTTATCAATGGGGAGGATTTTTATTTTTTTAATTTCATTATGTGGTGATCAGAAGTTGAGCAATATATAGTTTGTTTTTGGCGGGGCCAGGATCTCTATACCTGAACCTGTGATTCGAAAGATGCCACGTTTAATTGGGGAAGATGATAAGCATTTGTCTGGAGTAGGAAGTAGAAGCTGAAATAATTTCCATGAATTTACAAGGAAGCTTTTGTACTGACCAGAAGCATTTTTATGGTGATGATCTATTTGGTTCATATATTAAGCTACGCCAAATATTCATGTTCTTTTGTGTTCATCCAAGGTGTTAGTTGAATTTTTTTTAAGTGAAAAAAATTTAAATTTGTACTAACTTAGAAATTAACAACTTAACTCTTCGTTGGCAAAATGTTGATGGGTAAGTTTATTGTATGAACTTCAGCTTTAATAGAAAATTCTCAAGCCACTGATATTTTATAAAAAATATGCTTTATTTTATACAATATAAAATTATACTAGCGAGCTAGTTTAAATGTTTTAATTAAAAAAAATAAAGTGATTAATATAATACAATTGTAAAAATAAAATAAAATCTTTGTTGATGGTTATCAAAATTATGTTCTAAATAAATGTGAAAGATATTCTAATATTAAAGGTAGTAAATAATATATGTCATTTTAAAATAATTAATACAAATTTATTGGTAAGATGATATCCTTTAGATAGAAAGTTCAATTAAAGTGTGATGAATTGAATTAGACATAATTTGACTAAGTGGAGATGTTAACAATTGAGAGAGGAGTTGGTTTATTTACTATAGTTTGTGAAATAAACAATTGCTAATCTTGAGTTTTATCTCATGGGAAATCTTTGAATCTCAAGTTGATAAAGTAAAAGAGTAAGTAAGCTCAAAGAGGAAATGAGAGATCTCATTATAAAAAATATGAAAACTAAGACAAAATTGGTAATCTTATGAGACAATGAGCACTCAAATTTCAATCCAGACTAAAAGATCATATTTTAAACTAAACTAGTTGAACTATTAACGAATATTTTGTGTAGGTTGCATATGTGGTGGTAGACAACCATGACAATAGACCAAGGCTAAAGTTGCCGAGAATGATATAATTGGACCTCTTATTAACCTTAATCTTGAAGTTTTCGTGTTAAAATTGAAGTGCATGAAGATAATGATATTGGAGAGAATGAAGAAATAAAATTCATTTATGAATCTAAAATCACTGCAATAAATAAAGAATTCATAGAAAGCCAAAATGAAAGCGATAATACAATAATTTAAATAGTAACACATATATGAAATATGAGAAAGACAAATATTAAATAATATTTTTACGTTGTTATGAAAGGTTATGCATTTAATCTCAATGACAAAAATAATTTCTACAATTAGAGATGATGTATTTAATTTATTTATTACTTAGTCAAGAAAGTGGTTGATAGATCTAGGTCAAATAGGTGGACTCCAACTAGGGTCATGGGTCTTTTTATTCATTCATAAATGCCCTATTGCCATGGGCTCTAGTGTTGTGTCGTCTCTTTAGGGGAATATACCAAGTGGGTTGTTTTCCCATCTTCGACCGACAAAGTAGTTAAGGTTGTTTACTGCCCATAATTGACTCATATTTTCTGTAACGACCCCGTAAATTTAAGTGAAGACGTATGTATTAAAAATTTTAAATGCGGAAGTGAAATAAAAATTCTGATTAATATCCCTTACACAATAACCAAAAACGTATTCAACATATGAAAGAATAAGCTAATTAAAAAAAATACTCGAAATAAAAACTATAAATAGAACTATAAAGTCTTTAGACATTTAACTCGCCGTCTTCCTGCGGAACGGGCTCGGGAACCACGTCTTCTTGATCTGAAATGGTTAAGTAAGGAATGAGCAACACTAGCCTAGTAAAGACATCACACTATCTCACTGCCACAGCAGTAAAGATTGGTAGAAAACAAAAAGACCAATGGAGCATAATTTATAACAAACTCATTTATTAATAATAAAAATCTTTACTGTCCACTTACCTCGGTGAGATTTGTTAAAATAACATATGAAAATAATAGCATTATAACCATCATAAAATCATATACACTTTGTAACATAACACATGTCATACTTTTGCACTTCAATAATCAGACAACAAATTTCCTCTTTTACCAGCCTACTAGTATCCATGGGGATCCATAGGGGGTCATCGATATACGTGAACCATTAACATTAATAACCTGATTTCAGGGCCGTCTCCATACCCCGTTCGGTATGGGTGCCAAAAACATAAGCCTCAATACCCCGTCCGGTATGAGGGTGAAACGGGCCGCCCCCATACCCCGTCCGGTATGAGCGCCAAAACACATAAGGTCTCCATACCCCGTCCGATATGAGAGACCACGTTCCTGGTAGGGTTTCTTACGGACCCGGTCCGTCCACCATCTCCCAGGATATCTAGTCAGACTGTTCACATTATCCATTTATCAATTCACATAACCTTTTTTCCATTTTTCTTGGTCTCAATTATCTAATCATACACAAACACGTAAACCAATAATAAACACCAAACAAAACAACACATCGGGTTGACCATAATTCAAACCATAATAAAAGAAACCATGATTCATGCATACGTAACCATAAAATAAACACATAAGATACCATACTGCATTTAAAACTAAAAAATAAATCAAACAACAACTGAAAGAAAATACATTAGATTCGGGCTCCATTAGTAACCTTAATTAATTATACACATGTATTAATTCATGAAATGCTGTTTTATTATTTATTGCGCTTTAATACCGTGATAGGAAATAGGGTGAGAAATTCTTACTTGTTTCGGGGTCTGAAATTGGCTCTATAATGCACCTACAGGCTGTCCCTAAATTCCCTAAATTTTTCCTGGGAAACTGAAATGCACTACCGGTACCTGCACGTGCCCCAAAAAACCCAAAATCAGACCTAGGGCCCTTTTTCGGCCAATATCAGAATTCTGTCACGGCGGCTCCGCCGTGCTCCAGCGACCCACCGCCGCCCGAGGCGGCGATCCGCCTCGGGTTGACCGTTTTCGGTCGAATTTAGCTAATCTTACATTGGTTCATGCGTTAAAACAACCCTAGGGCCCTCGGTGGGCTAAAAAATCACAAAAAATCGAGACTTACCGGCAGCAGAGCTCTCGGGTGCGGCGGCTTCTTCGGCGCGAGTCGCGGTTTGATGTTTTGCTCCGGTCAACATGTAGAGAAAAGGACGGTGATCACAGTGGTGTAAAAATTGCATCGAATGGGAACCGGAAAGGGCCTCATCGGAGGCAAAAACTGAGGGAAGCCGCGGCGGCGCGGCTGGACTTTGGCGGTATTTTTTGGCCAAATGGCCGGTGGTTTGGCTCCGATTTTGCCATAGGTGGATTCAGCATCGAAAAACGAGCCAAGGGGAGAAAATTTACCTCGTTTGGCGGTCGAAAAACCCTCCGGTGCGGTGGCAGGTGGCGGCGGCCGGCTCCTCCGGCGACTGGTTCTTCTTCTCCGGCGAGGGTACTGGCGGCTAGGGTTTGGGGTCGGGTGTGGGTGAGGTTATTTATAACCTTCCCCTTTTAATCTTAGCCATCCATCACGATTTAATCTGAACCGTCCGATCGCGATTAAATGGGAATAAATCTGGATCGTCCATCGCGATG